TACCGAATTTTTAAAATTTTCTCCCAATTTTCCCCGTGTTGCGTTTGAGGTTTAAAAAAAGTTTTTAAACCTAACCGTCCAAAAAAACAATTACGTACATCATGCATTATGTTAAAATTATTTATTTTATTTACTGCAAATTAAATCAGTCATTTGACAATTTCCTTCATACGTATTGCATGTTTTTGACACACTAGAACCCACGGCAGGAAGAATATCTCGACAAAAACTGCATAAAAATCCGGAACAAAAATGGGATAATAAAGAGGAAAGTTAGGAGGGTAGATATATTTCGATTTTCGTCAAAAGAGCTTTAAATTTTACATAAATGTTTAACCATGTGATTGATCAACTTTGTAGCTATGTTGATGCTTATAGACTATATACGAGGGAAAGTCAGAAAATATCCAGACTTTTGACTTGTTCTCGAAAACCATTCAACATTTTAAAAAAAATCTTTCTACTCTTTTTCAAAATATTCTCCACCTACGTCTAAGCACTTTTTCCATCTTCGTGGAAGCTTTTGTATTCCCGGTGTGAACCATGACGTAGACCTATGTTTTAGGTACTGTGTAACAGCAGATATCAAAGCCGCCCTGGTCTTATATTTCTTTCCAGCAAGCAATTTTTTCAGTTCTGGGAACAAATAAAAGTCACAGGGGGCGAGGTCTGTGCTATAAGGAGGGTGAGACAACAATTGCCATTTGTAAGAGTTGATAACCTCCACTGTAGCTTCGGCGGTATGGGAGGGGGCGTTATCATGAAGAAGGATGACATTTTTCTGTGCGTTTGCTTCAACTTTTCTCAGATTTTTCAGAATTACTTCAGAATAGTACTTGGCGGTGACAGTTTGACCTTTTGGCATGAAATGAGTAATTATCATTCCTCATGAATCCCAAAAGGCAACAAGCATGACTTTGCCAGCCGAAGGAGACAGCTTAAACTTTTTAGGAGGTGGGGAGCCAGCTCGTTTCCACTGCTTTGACTGAGCTTTTGTCTCAGGTTCGGAATAATAAATCCACATCTCATCTCCAGTGATAATGCGGATCAAAAATTTATCTCCTTCACGATTAAAACGACTTAAATGTTCTTTTGCATTGGTTTATCTGGTTGCCTTTTGATCTGCGGACAGCTGTCTAGGCACCCACCTGGCACTTACCTTGCTCATGCCCAGGTGTTCGTGTAAAATCTTGTGTGCCGATGCCTTACCGATGCTAAACTTGTTGGCTACCTCCTTCAAAATTACTCGACGATTTTTGTTGACAAACGCTTTAACATTTGCTACCATTGTTGGGGTCACCGCCTCACCTGGCCGCCCAGTCCTAGGCCTGTCACAAACACTTGTTCTGCCTTCACGAAACTGAGAAACCCAGTTGTAGAAGGTTAAACGTGATACACTTTTATCAGAAAATCTTTTTTTAAGCCTCTGAAAGATGTGGCAGGGCTTTTCGCCTTCTGCAACCAGAAAATTTATTACAGAGCGTTGTTCCTCTAACAGAGAGTTCATTATAGACGAAACACCTATCATACATCCGAGGGCAAAATACTGTGTATACACAATTATCAATGAAAATAAACTGACCACGTTATTGGCGAATGAAGGTAGTTTTCACCAATATATAATGCGTGTATATAGCTGCACATTGAAAGAGAGGAGCATGAAAAGTCCGGATATTTTCTGACCGTCCCTCGTACGTCTCGAATCCATTCCTGCAACCAACAAGTACTAAGCAATGAGTGTAAAGTTTCTTGCTTAAGAAAACAACGGCCCCTCTCTGATAGGGTTTGAACCCGTGCGTACATCAGATGATTGATAAATATTTTGTGAAAGCTATGACAATAGATTATATATACACATAAGTGAAATTGTGTATTTGAGTTAATTTATACTCGCCAGCGGTTGCCCATGTGGGCGAGTCCTACAGAACAATATTAGTCATTTTATATTTTAGAGGATAGTACAAGATACAGATACAGAAAGGTATTCCAATTTCAGATGCTACTCATGGTTCTTTCACGTGCCAAATATTTAGGCACTCATACACGGGACCTCGATTTAAAGTCTCATCCGAAAGACTAAATGCTAATTTTAGTTGGTCAGTCCGGGAATCGAGCCTACAATTTCGAGATTACATTGCGGCCATTTTGTGCAGTGAAGCGGAACGTGCCTGTGGTGTGCACAACCAGGAATGGTACTGATCACTCCTGTGAAGTTTGTTTTTAATCCCAACAGAAGTTTGACCTGTGAAAGCCGGACAAGATTTTTCTATTTTTAGCTCTTGTGGTCATTTTGTGCAGCAAAGCGGAATGTGCTGCCAAAGTGCACAACTAAGGATGGTACTAATCACTCCTGTAAAGTTTGGTTGAAATCCCATCAATAATTTGACCTGTGATAGCCGGACAAGATTTTTCTATTTTTACCTCTGGCTTCCAATTTGTGCAGCGAAGCGGAACGTGCCGGTATTATGCACAACTAGGGATGGTACTGATTACTCCTGTAAAGTGTGATTGAAATCCCACCCTAAGTTTGACCTGTGAAGGCTGGACAAGCTGAATGCGGACGGACGGACAACGGACAGACAACCGGACGGACGGACGGATGTTCTAACGGAACAGTAATAATGTAGCTACTCTATTATTCTTATTCTCTCTATTGTTCTTTTTAGCCACAAAAAAGAACAATAGCCAAATAAAAGCATTTCGGAATGAATGACATCAAAGAGAAAGAACAGTTACCTATTGTCTCTCTAGCCACATTTATTATTGTCCCGTGAGAGCGGACGGACGGACAGACGGACAGACAGACGGCGAAGGCAAAAACAATATGTCTTCCAAAAATTTGGGAGACATAATGATAATTAAACACATTTGACCGGGGATTGTTTCCTTAGTGGGTCGGTATACGCCAAGTTTACTCTGTAACGTGCAATCTTACATTTTCTCCTACAAATAAATTCACTTTTGACGTAAAAATAGCGATGTCGAAAAACATATATATAAGCCGAGGTAGTCTATTGATTTTTCCATGTAAAAAAAAAAAAAAAACAAAAAAAAACAACAAAAAACAACAACAACAACAACAAAAAAATCAACAAACATACCAAATGGATATCATAGCCCATTCAATCTCGTTTTCATCTTCAGCCTTCAAAATATATAAATCAAATGCATAATTTCCGTACTCCATCTAACTTCGTTTTCATTTTTCCGCCAAAAATTCATATCAAGAACTTCAAGTGTAAAAGGTAGAGGTCTTTGTAAAAAAAATGTAGAGAAAATACTGGTTCTATCGGACTCGCACACAGTTGCAAAACCTATATTAGAATTTTCTATTGCCTTGTCCAATAAAGGTTTGACTGTTGTGAACTCCTCTAATAGACTCAACAATATGTAATAATAATATATATATAACAGTAACCTCAAAATGTTTTATATTGATTCGATCAATATTATTTTCATAATTATCATATCATATTTACCAGCTTCAAAAAGCAAACATGGTATATTTGTCTTGCGCAATGATAGCTTTTTAGGAGAAAGAACTCAAGAAACAATTGCCAACGTGAGATATAGTAGTTGTCTACCTTAAGTTAGACGAAGGTTTTATATTCAAGTGGCAGGTTAACATTTTCATCTGGTATGGATAGAGTTATATTGATTGCAAATAATTATGAACATTAAAGGATCTCCGCTCAGGACAAAAAACATAAAATTTGAATTTCTAAATATTGATCAGCTGTAACACTTAGAACAAAAAGACATACAAAATATAATTCAAAGATATACCAATATATATATTTTTCATCATTCTGTAGAGGTCTCGTGTCAAGTAACTCATAACAATATGTCCTGATTCATTCACTTTAACCTTCCTAGTGATATTAACTTAATATCTATCATTAAGATATGTTAAAGGGAAGAAATTATACCCGGATTATCTCAAAATTCTTCTAATCACAGCCATAGAAAACAACGAATTTCATTGGTTAAATTTTAACGTGGGGTAAACTCACCATAGGTCAATAGATAATATTGTTTTTGTACTTTAAACACCTGATAGAAATATGTTCTTATATTATTGATGTAGAATTAAGTTATATTTGACTACATTGAAAGGTAAGCACTTTTTTTCATTCAATATTTCTGTTTGTTTAATATATTATTGTTTATTTAGTAGCATTCAATTTTGATATTCAATAAAAATGATAGTCAATGTCTGTGTGTTTATAGTGCTTGATGAAAGTTTGATGAATGGGTGATACATATTTTGTTGTTCTGACTGAACACTGACTATATATCTTAAACTTTTATCTATTTTGTTCATAGTACATTATCATATACAAAGGAATATCAAAGTAAAAAAAATCTGATATTTTAACGTGTAGAAAAAATTACATGTAACATTAATTTGAGAATATGACATTAGTTATGTACACTTCAAGTACACTTCAAATAAAGACATTTTTTTTAATGAATTAAATTGATGACATTAGACGAGAACAGTACATATGTTTTTACAATGAGTTATATACATGTACATGTATAGTAAATTAATCTTATTTGTATATTTAGTATCTCTAGAATGCATCTATAAATGTTGAACAAATAAGCTACATGAAAATTTCCAAGTAGGCCTATCTTATATCTAAACAGGATTTCATGCAAGATGAATAATTCTTTGACGACGGGAGATTTATTAAATATATCTTTATTAATTTAATAATAAAATGGACATAAGTCCGACAAAACAAGCTCTTTCCTTCAAGAAAAAAAGAGGACGCAATTTAAAGGCACTCCACTTGTACATTAATAACCATTGAATTAGAAATTATGCATGTCAATTGGCATGCATATTTTCTATGTCAATCTTAAAAATGTACTTTTGTTATTAAAACATCAATGTTCATACCACACACATTTATGATCTTTCTTTATCGTAAAAAAAAAACCGCCAACGGTATAAATTAGATCGAAATATCGTCGAGTGTTTTGTTTATTCGATAAAAAGAAGTTGCTTTCAACATTAAATATTTTCAGATAAGCTTAATATCTTACTTAAAGTGGGTACAGCAAATTTATAGCGGAGAGAATTTGTTTGAACAACCGCAACGTGACAGTATTGTAAACAAATGATACAAATAGCAGTAATCCAGTAAAGAAAAGAAGCTCCAATTTTAGGATAACATATTTTTGACAAACATGATAACTATTCATTAAATATTTGAGATAAGATAACGCCGTGAAAGAAATATGTCCAATGTACAGTTTTTCTTCCGGGTTAAATAGGGAAAATGTTTCATAACAACGGAATCCTGTTTGGGTCATTTAAAATGTCGCCATCGCGTTTGCATGGTCGACACAAGACAAGAAGTGACATCGCGACAATACAAAGTGACATAGCGACAATGCGATACGACACCCGACATTGTTAAGTACCGTCGCGATATATCGTGCTTTAATAGGCGAGATTTAAAGAGCATATCGTGACATTGTCGTTTGAGATTGTCCCCAACGTTTGAGATTGTCCCCAACGTTTGAGATTGTCTTGTGTCACTTCATAATGTCGCAATGTCACTTCACGTTGTCGTGTGTCGACCATGCAAACACGACGGCGACATAATAAATGACCCCAACAGGATCCATACATTACAGCAATAAAGCAACTGAATTAAGTCAAAATTGGCTAGCTTACTTGGGTTTCTGATTTCTTTTTTTTACTTATAAATATTTACCGGAAGGCTTAATCATTCCTAGACAGACAGATGGTCTACTACTGAATCTGTTAAAATAACCAAAATATCAATTCACTAATTTGCAACAAAAAGGTTCCTATGTTGGATGGGCTTTACGTCGCACCGACACAGTATAGGTTATATGGCGACATTTCAACTTTACTGGTGTAGGGAGACATCGGGTTCCCTTCCGTGCATTATTACAGACACAAACGGGCACCTGAGAAGACCCACCGACTTCCTCGCATAAAAGACTATGCAACAACGTGCCTGATTCGAATCCACAGCGGTGAGGGACAAGTAGTTTAAAGTCAACAACCTTAACTACTCGGCCTCGGACGCCCCCGAATTAGCTTTTTGAAAATATGGTTGATTTATATGCCTATTTTTCAGGTTTTATAATGTTTATCAGGACCATTGTATTGGTTGCGCTGGTGGCCTCGGTTATTTCGGAGGAGGGCGTGTCCAACAATGACGACTGGGCTTATCAGTGGTACTCTGGTGAATCTTTCCGGTTCCGGTGTCATATATCTGGTTTGAACGTCACTGAGCCAGGCTACGTTACCTGGGAAACAGCAGATCATAAAGTATTGTCAAAACACCACAACGATACGGAATATGAACTTTTTAAATACAACATGGTAGACGGCTTTGAGCTATTAATCAAGAATGTTAACCCAAACGTACATGGTGTGTACATCTGTAAAGTGTTCACTAGCGGTGGTGAAATAAGAGGACATACTATATACGGTCTGAACATCCATGAAGTAAAATATCACGTTATGATGGACAAATACAAGAGTCAAATCAACGTGGCTCTCATAGCAACGGCGGTATTTCTCGTGCCAATACTAACAACTTGTCTAGTTTGGCACTTTCAGTACGTTACACCAGAAATGGAAGCGCGAGCAAGACGTAGGAAAATGGGCCAGAAACCGTATAGCATTAGTAACGAAATGCAGACGACAAATGGACATCTTGCAGACACAGTTGCTTCACCAGAATGGAATGGGGCATACGAAAATAAAGAAGTTTTCACCCAATTGTAGACTATTCAAGTTTTTGATAAAAAGAAAATATCGTTTTTTTCCGCCCAAAGATTCATTATATATTATAATATTATACATTATACATTAAACATCGTATGCAGCAACTTCTGTCGGTAATAAGATTCGTTCTTTTACAGAAAGAATGTGTATGATAGGAGTGGATTAAATCAAAGTGTTCGTCGCCATGATAGAAGCGATGGAAGATTGCAGAACTTTTAGTGTTTTTTTTTAATTCTTTGGCCTTCGTAAAATAGCTTAATACAATAGAATAAGTATTTCAATATGTAGTAATAATAAAAAATGAACATTTAATGGACTGGTTTTGAAATCTAAAACCGAGTGACGAAAAACACACACGAAAAAACAACCAAAAAACAAAACATTTATCAATTTATATAACATGAAAACAGGATTTAGAGGATAATGCAGGAGTTTTTATGTCAAAATAAACTGATGTGTCTGGTAAAATGTGATAAATGTAACCGCAATATTGCATGAATTCTTAACCGCTCCTTTGAAGTACAAACTATTACAATAATAGGCATTATATCAGTTTAGAAATCTAAAAAACACACACGAAAAAACAACAACAAAAACAAAACATTTATCAATTTATATAACATGAAAACAGGATTTAGAGGATAATGCAGGAGTTTTTATGTCAAAATAAACTGATGTGTCTGGTAAAATGTGATAAATGTAACCGCAATATTGCATGAATTCTTAACCGCTCCTTTGAAGTACAAACTATTACAATAATAGGCATTATATCAGTTTAATAGAAGGGAGACAACCCTGACTGTTCCTTTAATATGATTTTAAACTTTTGTTTTGAGTTGATTTCTATCATAAAGTTAAGTTATAAAACCTAAACTGTTTTTGACATACATATTATACATGTATATATTATTTTGAAACACGTATAAGTTAATTTTCGGAAAATACGAAATTAATCTATTTTCTGATATTGCGATTATCTCAAAATGGCTGTAGTTAATGGTACATAAAACAGATTTATTTTCCAATGAATGCATAATAAAGAGTGTTCTGGACGAAGGTTGTTGGTTCGAACCCGAGAGGCCATTGTACATCGCAAATCAGTCTTATACAAGAAGAAATTACAAAAAAAAATTCTAATAACTTTTTTACCGGTATTTCTTTTGGCGAATAATTTCCATCATGACTGGGTATAAAAGCAATTTAGGAACTTTCAATACACATCATATTTGCTCCGACAACGGTCGCAAATAGAAAATGTAATGTTAAATTTCAGCTGAGAGGAGTAGTCAAATATGAATTTTTGCAAAATTAACACAATTAAAATGCACCGACAACGGTTACACGTGTTATGTATGTCCGATAATTACACAAACATTTTTGATGTCCTTTGAATCATATCATAGTGTTGCAAGAGCACCGACAACGGTTGCATCAAGCAATTGACTAATGTCTATTCTATTAGCAATTGACTGTTATTTAGGTACTCCGTCGCCCAGCATGAAACAAGTGTCCCAATCATGACGAAGCGTTGTGATAGCTGACTCCTGAAATGTTAAACAAAGCACAGCAGAAAAAAGGGTTGCGGAGGGCGGGAAATTAAAAACCTAGATTAAGATTTTAACAAAAATTTTAAAATATGATCAGCAGCTACCTTTCTCATAGAGTTCCAGAACGAAGAGGAAGCAGCGGGCTCGCGCAGCTCCTTATATAGTGTTCTAAATATAGCTCTCAGACTGAGCATGTGTATTGATACGTAGTACAACTGATCGATAGATTAAGACATGTGTCATTCATGTAAAATAAAAGAGTTTAATCTTGAATGATTAAACTTTGATAATATTTTGTAAACTCTGGCTATAATCCCAAAACCATCTGTAATATTTCAATGATTCAGAATATAAAAAGTCTCGTGCGGTTATCATTCATTATTAGTCCCAAGATGGCGTCCAAATGGCCACAAATTGAAAATAAGTCATTTCTGACATATCAAACTATTATTTGTTTTTTAAAAAAGTTTAAATTTAAAAATAGCAGCAGTTAATTTCATAAATAAATATGACTTGTACCTGACAAATGTAAAAATCGTTAAGATTTTAAAACGGCAGCTTTTTACGAGATGGCAACCAACAATATGTTTACTTGAATGCATTAACTGATAGAGTAAACATGGTCATGATTATAAAGTAATCATAATTTTTGTACATTTTTTTTTACTTCAATTTGGATGATTCTCGGCAATGTAATCGTTTTCATTAGCGATGTCATGCGGTCGAAATATTTAGGAATACAGGTTGTATAAAAAATTGTGAAATATGTAGCCCACTGATAGATGTTTTCTAAATTACATGTTAAAGTCATTTAAACAAAAAATTGAAATTTTTGAAAATAAGATGCAATGAGACGATATTTACTACATTTCATAACATACCTATCATATCTAAAATGGGGTTCAATATTGTAAGCTAAGTCAAAAACTGTTTAAATAACAACTTTTATTGATAAAAAGTTAATTCCACAATGTCTTTATTCAACTCTGAAGAGCACTAAATTTGCTAGATTCAACAATAGAAGTTTCCATGAAAACATTACAAAATGCCTCTTGTCACTTGTTTTTGCGACTGTCAGGATTTAAAGCCAAAATGCAAACTGAAAACATGTGTGTGTGTGTTTGGGTTTGTTTACCCTCGCCACCGGAAAGAGACAATATAGGCGAGCATATACTTCATTTATAACCTAATAATAGGGGAGCTGATGTTTCTTTACTTATTGTTATATCCGTACATGTGTTATGTGCATACCATATCCCCCATGACAGGGTAGTCTCTACGTACAACCTCTGCCATGGGAGGAAGATGGGGCAATCCCATACTAAGTTTGAAAGTTCTAAAATTTGTTTGTTAAAATGCACTTGTTTTAAAAATGGCCAAGACGTTTATAGAAGTTTATAGAAGTCTTTTTTAACAGGTCAATTTAATAAGAAGAAAATTTCAATATTTACATATAAAATTTACAGAATTCGAAACTGAAAACAGCCAGTCATGGCTACTTATATACATTCTGAAATGGCCAGGACTGTCACAATTGACCAATCATAACATTCCATTTGCCCTGGCAGTCTGGCAGGAAAGACAGGAATTTCTTAAAATGGCAGCCATATTGACAGGAATAATTTAGAAAAATGTAAATTTACATGGTACAAAAATTCCAGAATATGCAATGAACACTTGAATTACATGCTTAACTTAATGCACTTAAAATCTGGACCAAAAACAATCATGGTTATAGCTTAGAAAAATGAACTTTTGATATAAAAAGATTACAAGTGCCAGGAATTTTCCCTCCTGACAAACTTAGAGGTCATACTGGTCATCAAGATTATTATGATATAAAGCAATGCCATCTAACTATTTGGAAAGTAACTTATGTCTTAGGTAATTAAGGATAACATTCTATCTTTTTACATGTAAAATGATAAGTATGTGTATATGTTTATGAAAATAAATGCATTTAAAGTTTTGAATCAAGGTAAACAACTCTTGTCGGCCATTTTGATGCCAGGATAAACAAAGTAAGTAAATTAATCATTTCTTAAAGTATAAACCTCCTTATAGTGCCTTATATAGTCCTAGAGCCACAGAATGTCCTATATCATGGTTTTAAGTCCTTCATGTACCAGAAAATTATCTCTGCACATAAAATCAGCATATATGAATGGCTGAGGCAAGTTCAGGAATCCTGGCAGGTAAGTCTTAAACATTGACTGAGCATTATTACCTCATTTGTAAATCTTAGTTTGGTGTTCATATTGTCATAAAACATTATTTGTTTTAAACTGAAAGTAAATTATTTAATAAACATTCACAGTCCCTTACAATATGTCACCAAAACTCAGCAAGTAAATCGTTGACAGAACACAGAATATTCTTGATAACATCTGTATTCTTTCCTTTTAATACATTCAAAATTTTAGTACAATATTAGTTTGTTAAACAGTCACATTTTAAGATATATTTTAATATACCGGTAATAATGATAATATAAAATATATTTTAATAACTGCTACATCAGAATTAAAATGACACTTAGAAAGATTTCACATCGAGTATCTAAGTATCGACCGTCAGAACTCTTAAAGCTCTTTGGGGTCATTTCTCGATTTCGATCCCTCAAAGCACGACATATGCTTTTATTTGCGTTAATCGTTAAGTATGTATGTAATATTTCTTACCTTTATGTAAATGTTACATATACTTAGCGATTAACGCACATAAAAGCATATGTCGTGCTTTGATGGTACCTATATGTTAAAAAATGAGAGGGTACCTGTGTTTTTAAAATTCAAATGAAGAGAGGTAGCCCGTGCCGCTGCAAAACCGAAAGTAGGGTGTTGTATGAATTTTTCATTTATTTTTGACAATATACTGCCACTTGTCCGAAGATGATATGTATATGAACATATTAAATATGTATGATGCATATATAATCAAGCCATAGGTTCATTTCAGCCCGAAAAATATGTCGAGGTGATGGGCGAGGCAAGACATGTCGCTTTTTTGTAGCTTATTGTGAAGTTGCAGTACATGAAACACGGGCACATGACAAATCAGCACATAAATAAAACATTATAGTGTTCTGTGGTATACATCTTTTCTACGTGACATACCTCCTTTCCTTATTACAATGAAATTTAACTGGATTGGTATCCATCGCTGGTTTGTTTTTAGCAGAGAATGACCTGTGCATGTTCAAAGAGGGTACCCACGGGGGTGGAACCCCATATGAATCTCAAAAATGAGCATCGGTAAAAATGATATGTGAATTTCCGGTGCACCAGATGTGAAGCATAACACCAGATGTGACTGGAAAAATAGGCCGATCGCAGGGTAAGTTTTCATCTTTTTAAACATTTATATAAAATTCAATCCTTTTTTTAAGAAAATCGAAATGTGATTCTACCCCCCCCCCCTGACTCTCCTCTATATTACCCATTGTTGTTTTGGATTTCTATGCAGTCTTCATCGAGATATTCTTTCCGTCGTTGGTTCTGGTGTGTCCAAAACATGCAATGTGAATAAAGAAAATGTCACTAAACGGTCTCAAAAAACAGAGATTTTACGAAATCTCACTACAGGTCGATGCTAAACATTCAAACAAATCCTGGTTTAAACATTTATTGAGATTTGGCTGCATACAAGGGAATCGCTGCTCAAAATTACATTTGAGCTCCAGATGTGGTGAAGAGATTCATAAGTGAAGTAGAAAACCATCTACAAAACAACGGACCACTTCCATATATAATCATTGAATAGCCAATCTATAGAAACAATATAGGTTTTGCAGCTTTGGCTGAAAGTTCAATTGTAACATTAGTGTGTTTGATTACCACAGTGACAGAGCTTACTAGCTTATGCTAGCATTAGAAATACTAAAAGGCCCGAGTACATGAAAATGTTGACGCAGAGCGGATAGTACTCTTATGATAAACAAATCACTAATAAATGATATGTAACTTGGACAAACCAAACTGAAAGTATTGAACTTTGTAAAGCTATCGTGTCATATAATATGTTTCTATAATAATGTTTACATTCATAAAAATATCTATCACTTTAATATTCCACAAGTTATAGTTAAAGCGACAGACTGTCATGTGTAAATATCATGGCCTGATGCGACATCGAAGGTTTACTTTATAGAATATGGGCTGCGAACATTGTCTGTAAGGAAAACCCGAGATGCCGCCCCAGGTCATGATATTTCTTCATAATAGTAGAGTTCGATATATTATAACTGTTTTATCGCATGCTAAACAGAAATGAGAACTTTAATAAACATAAAATTTCAATTTATGCATGGCTTTTCTCCATAAATTAACCCTTTCACTGCCATAGGGACGGCTTATGCCGTCCCTGTTATTTTCGGCGTATTTGCCATATGGACGGCTTTTGCCGTTTCTATAATAATCATTATAATAATGGGACTTAATAGTTGTGAATTGAATATTAAGCGTTTTTTCTTTGAATTGGAAAAAAGTAATACGTGCACTTTCTGGTGAATTCTTGGACTTTGGAGTCTGCGATACGCGGAATCTTTTGACACATGGGGACAATTTAAAAGGCGAAAAAGGAGATGTAAGCGCTGATGACTTCCTATTTTCACGATACACGTGACGTTTTATTCTTGAAAGATTTAAACCTTTCTTTTTTGTGTCTAGAAAACGACCCATTTTCCTGAAAAATAACAAAAGAAAAGAAACGAATTACGAAAGTGTTTATAATTTACAGTTCCCACTGAAATAATAGTTATAAAGCGGATAATAAGTTTAGTGATCTTTTTGCGTACATGAACATTTTCAGGAAACAATCTATGTGCATTATGAGCTACGCATGTCCGCTCAATACGGTTAAGATATGTTAAAGTTTCTTTAAAACCAGTCAAAGAATTACAGAGCAAAGATAAAATTCAGATAGGCATTGACCCATAATTGCGACTGTGGGCATGAAGTGAACCATGTAAATATTCTGCAGGGACGTTTCTTGATGTGGAAAATAAATATGCAAATCTTCTTTGATCTTTTTTTAAAAAGTTTATCACTAACTTTCTTACAGCATCATAACAAATTCAAACACGCTTCACATTACTCCCCTATTAAGTAGACAGTGCTGTCGAGTAAATAATTAATTAATTAATTAACTAATGCATGGTGGCATAAAAAGGGAAAGATTGCAGTACACATGACGTCGATAAGTCAAAATAAGCAAGGCCTTACCACCATATCTACGTATTTTCATAACCTTTCGTATACTATGCAGAATGTCTTATATCTCTTTCTATATGGATACTATGTTATTCAAACTCGTCTCGTGAAAATGTGTCTATTTCGGATAATAGTATTTATTACAGAATGATACACAATAGAATAAATTCTAAAGTGATGCGTAATTATGTTGCTATTTTTTTTTTGTTATGCACATATGAATCTCTTCACATCTGGAGCTCAAATGCAATTTTGAGCAGAGATTCCCTTGTATGTAGCCAAATCTCAATAAATGTTTAAACCAGGATTTGTTTGAATGTTAAGCATCGACCTGTAGTGAAATTTCGTAAAATCTCTGTTTTTCGAGTCCGTTTAGTGACATTTTCTTCATTCACATTGCATGTTTTGGATACACCAGAACCAACGACGGAAAGAATATCTCGATGAAGACTGCATAGAAATCCAAAACAACAAGGGGTAATATAGAGGAGAGTCAGGAGGGTAGAATCACATTTCGATTTTCTTAAAAAAAGGATTGAATTTTATATAAATGTTTAAAAAGATGAAAACTTACCCTGCGATCGGCCTATTTTTCCAGTCACATCTGGTGTTATGCTTCACATCTGGTGCAGCGGAAATTTTCATATCATTTTTACCGATGCTCATTTTTGAGATTCATATGGGGTTCCACCCCCGTGGTACCGTTTGAGCAGATTTCGCAAAGATGGTACCGATATGGATATGCACCGTGTGTATGCCTGTCTTTCTTAAATTGGACAAGATATCCACATTGGATTGCTTTTCTTCACATATGAAATTTAATTTATAGCACCAGCAAAAGATAGCATTGTTTCATTTTGAGTTTTACATTTAAAAATATACATTTTGACATATAAAAGAACTAAATTGTTTACATTTATTTTATTGTTTCCTTAAGTATAACCAAACAGCACAGTTTCTTTATTCAAGTTTGGCAAGTTTAGTTTATCTATACAAATTTCGTGTACTAGTTTATACATTATATATCTATATTATTGCTGTGAATGCATTCCCAAAATATATATAGTTTCATCATGAAGATTACATAGGCTACATAAGGGACTGTTAATATATTTCATTTTGAACAAAAGATTATTTGGTTATGTCTTTTTGGGACCATTGTATATATAAGTATTATTAAATTTTGTCAATAAACAGCGGCGTAAGAATATGTAAAATATAATACATGCGTTTAAACTGAAACTACTTCTTTTGACTTAAGAGTTTGACTTTTTTGCGAATAAATCTATACATGAACATATATACAGTCAGGAATTAATAGGTTTAAACTTAACAAGTTAAAGCACTACACAAATTTCATGTTATGCATGCAGTTTAATTTAGTTTTGTATTGCCTGGTTTCATCTGACATAGTAATTTTGTTTCAATTATTGCAAGTAAACAACTTTAACTGCAAGTATCAAAATACTTGACATTTGCATGCATGAAAAACGTTGAATTGAAACTTCGTTTTAAGCACGTCGGTAACTCGTGTCACGTGATAATTTCAACAAAAGGTTACCCATCCGAATGGGTTCACCGAGCGGAAAAATCTCTTTATTGCACTATTCTGAAAGATTGGATAAAAACGAAATAGCAAGGTACATTTTATAATTTGATTAATACAGCTATTGTCTTGTTGCAGGATAAACATACGTGCCTATGAATGTGTGTTTTTGTTTTGTTGTTGTTTTTATTGCTTTTTTTATAAATATTTTTTTTATATATAATTAATTTCTTATTATAGGAAGCTGAACTTTTGTTGTTGTTTTTAAAAACATATTGTAACTCTATAAACGCGTTCGATTCGGTGTAGCCTACCTCTAGATATGAGAATAATACAGGTGTCTATTTGTTCGTAAAATTACTAAATTTGTCATACACCTACTTGCCATTGAAAATCGTCACCGTTTTGCATCGCTAGCCACAGAAACTTTACACCAGTTAATGAATATCGGGGCACTTTGCGTTTAATAGCTCAAAATTATTTTTAAAATTTATTTCAGTTCATGTCTGGTGTAAACGAAAACATTATAAAACTAACTGAGATGTATAATATAATACAAATGTTATTTGTTAAATCTAGAGGCAATATTTCACATACATATTCATGTAATATTTTGGAATAACGTGAAATAACTTTTTGTTTACAGGTAAAACGAAGTTTATGTGAATACAGACGTGAAGTGTTGACTTTTTTACCGTACAAGGTTAGTAAACAATATTATGTTAACACTCCTTAAATTACATTTTTGCTCGCTTATATAATGTAAACAAGAAAATGTTATTTAATAAGTAAGGTAATGTACAGTAATAATGGTAACGGAATATGATTTAATTTGTGTATTACAATATTAAAACGTTAAAATTATTTTTTCTTTGAGCTGATGCTATATGTGTGTTATGCGTTTTATTATATCAGCTTAATTATTATCTTTTGTATAATACAGCATATAGTGATTTATTATGTTATTATAATTTTAAAACGCTCCCAACAAACGGTGATCGTGTACAGATATTCATATAGTGTCGAACAGTCATTGAATTATTTCACGCTATGTACACCGTCACACCGTCATTTCTCGTTCTATCACAATCTCCTACGCAGTGATCTCCCCTTATCAGTCTGCCAAGGGAGGTAATCACTGTGAGGAGTATGGTTCTGTCAGTGTCAACGCCACGTCGTAGCTTCTACACTATTTTACAATATACATATTGATAAAGTTATAAGAAAGATAACAGTTTTTTGGCATTATTTTATTCTGCTTACTTATAACATTCACGTTCTTATTTATGCAGCTACCTTTTCTTCTCCGTGGTCGAGGGATTAGAGTCGATGACTTCTAATCCAGTTAACTCTCTGGCGTGGGTTCAATCCCCGGGAGATGCTTTGGTAGTTTAGCGCGGAGGAAGGTAGTCTAGTACTGGTGTAACTCTCCAGGAACGATGGTTAGGAAACTACCCGCCTATGTAACTGAAATACTGTCTGGAAAAGGCGTAAAATAAAACAAACAAACAAAACCATTTCTTCAAACCCTTTAAAATACAGTCATCAGGGTATGAAACCAGTCATAATCCAGTTTTATAATTTTTGTAGAACAATTGGTAAGTTATAAACCATTCAAATTGCTGTCTAATAAAGTTTAATAGCCTTTGTTTTATGTACTTTTTCAGAAATATATCAGAAAATGTTACGTGTGGTGTTATCATTTTGTTTGTTGAGCATTGTGACTGCCGAGATGGTAGGGTACAACGACGACAATGAATGGTGGGCATTTCAGTGGTACATGGGAGAACCATTCCGCTTCAAATGTCAGTTATCCGTTCTCAACTTAACATCTAATAATAGGGTGGTATGGGATACGCCTACTAAAATGTCCTTACCAACGGAATATAGCGATGAGGATTATAAAGTAGAGACAGTAGATAACATTGCGAACGTGGAGCTTCTGGTGAAGAAAATAAGAGAAGAGAATCACGGGGTGTATACCTGCAAAGTTTATGAAAACAAAAATACCCGAGACATGACTGCGAAGGTCGTATACGGGTTGAATATTCATAGTAAGAAATACCGGGACATGACAGATAAATACAGGAGTAACATCATTGTTGCTTTTGTAGCAACGGCTGTCTTTATTGTTCCCGTGGCAACCATTTTATTGCTATGGAACTTCCGATATGAGGCGAGAATGGAGACATCTGGTAAGAGAGGTAGAATGTATGTTGAAAATGGAAAGAAAGAGCCGCCTACATACACTATCGCAGCAACGGTGATGTCCCCGGAAGGAGAGGGGGCGTACGATAACTTAAATGACCCAGATGACCTCTCTACACAACTATAAGTTTTCACAATTTTCTTGCTGATTATTTTGCACTTTTCTAATTTTTATTGTAAAAGTCCGACATGATAACTATTTTATTCAGTACAGCTGCTTTTTAGTATACATGTATGTTATTCTTACTATTTGAAGTAGTGCTTTCAAAAAAAAAAAAGGAATAAAAAGTGCATATATTGGAATAAGTAATATAAGAACAAGTTTCACACGTGTGTTTTATAAGTGTATAGAAATGACGTACAATTGTGTATCTATCATACATGTTCGATTCGTAACCATGAAAGACAAAGGGAGACAACCTACATAAACTCATATGCAACGAAGTTTGATAAATAAAAAATACAGAGTAATCTTCAGGTGCCGAGTTACCCAGGCAAATATTTGTAATTTGTGTATTGTAATGGTTTGCTTCATTGAATTTTCGAGCATATTTTGTGAAAGAAATATCACATAAACCTGTCATCAATATATATTTACCGACATTAAATACTGTTGTTTAAATATATTTTCAAGTTTAAGAGTTTGAATTTGCAGGTTTTACAACTAATGTTTCACTTTTATATAGGAAATATTCGTGTACTTCTGATACCAATGCATTTACCATATATTTCAAGAAGTAGATTTTTTAGTTTTACATGTATCATATTTTGTAATAAAACATTAATATAGCGCTGATTTTTCTGTTACCTCCAAACTGGTTGCATTGAAGGCAAACAAAACTGTTTCCAGAAAAGTTCATGTTGTTTGCTGAAATTAAAATGAAACAATGTTCGTACAATGATCAGGATCCATGTTAGATATCTAAATCATGGCAGGCTAGATGTTCGAACCATGGTAGGTTGCCAGTATAATGCTCCTCACTTCCCCGTTCAAATTTCTGTAATTTTCAGACCCTCAAGCCGAAGTTATATCATAACGGATGCATATACCCACAAATGTTGAAAAATGCGCATGTCTTCAAGAACTGCCTACGCAGTCAGGAGGAGAGCGTTTGACTGTGAATCGAGTGACCCAGGTTCGAATCCTGGACGGTGCAGGTTACTTCTGGTTGATATAAAATCCTTTCTATGGTCATTCGCACTGTACCCCTGCTCAGGCATGTACAGAAGAAACTAGCGAATCTTGGCAAAAGTGAAGGTTTCTTGTACTGCTTCACAGCATGCTCTGATGAATTTAAAGAGGCTTAAGTAAGTGATCCAGGAGATAAACTACAACATTACCACCACCTGTATATACTGGACGACGCTGATTTACTGTTTAATGCCGGCTCGCCACGGCGAGCCGGTATTACGTTAGGATTTTACTGAGAAACAACCTAAAACTCCGAATCCATCCAAAAATTTAATCGAAGCTTGGCTTCCAGCTTTCTACAAAATTTATCTATCAGGGCTAGGATCCAAAATTATTTAGCCAATCAAATTTAATCTGACATAGCGTCAAAAAACCTTCAATTTTCACGCCATTTTTAAAAGGCAGCAAGTTTTGTTTTGAGCGCAAAGATATAATGATGATTAAAATGTTTGTTTTCATGAATTATTTTCAATAAATCATATTTACACTGACTTTTGATTTAGCGATTTCACCTGTTTTCTCTGTAGTAAGTCTTCATTTGGTTAATTAACATAAGTGTACATCAGGTTCTGTGCATTTTTTTCTTTTTCCTTTTTTCCGGTCATTTTATCCTTTCCGGTATTTAGTGTATGTATTTACTGGCCGGGACGCCCGGGATCCGGGATCGTATAAGATATAGAGGAAAAAACTAATAAACTATATTTGTGTTGATTTTTGTCGTAATGAAAGGCCATAAAACGTTAAGTTTTTTTTTTTAAAAATTATTGTATGTAATGAACGTTAAATTTATTTTACTTAGGATATAGATTTATTTAGAGCTATTTATTAACACTTAAAATGCGGAAATCACAATACTTATAATTATTTGCCTAATTGATAGGAAAAATCAAAGACTATATTCTTGAATTGGTCAAATCCCGGGATCGCTATGTATGTTTTAATACGATCCCAGCTTTTCTGAAATCTATATTCTTGAACTGGCCAATTCCTGGGATCCCTATATGTTTTAATAGGATCCTGGCTTATATCTGAAAAACATCTTCTTAGACTGGTCAATTTCTGGGATCCCTATATTTTTTAATAGGATCCCGGTTATTCTGGCTGAATTGATTGACAACTTGTGTTTACTTTAGGACTTGTGTCTGTCAATCATTCCAATACTAAATAACATTTTACAACTTAACTTCGTGTAAAGAGACATCTTTATGAATTCTACCTATCTAACATTTTTTGGTCAAGGTCAACAGGCCATATAGTAAATGTGCATAGACATAGGGACTTCATTCTATCTGTTTACATGCATCTTCATATATACTAATATTCCTCTAAATGTTAAACGGAGAGAACTGGCTTCCATAACTTTATATGTCACTTTTATTTTGATGTTCCCTGAAGTCTCTTCAGCTACCAGAACTGTCATTTTTACATTTAAACACACCCCTGGAAAAAATTACGAAGCGAGTCGCTACTAGCTTTTTTAAAAGCTAACCTTGTAAATGTTGTTATTTTAAGAGAGGACCGTAAGATTCAATTTGGCATAAGGAAAAAATGGAGTTTTTTAACTAGGAAAACTAATTAAGAAACTAACACTATATTGTTTTCTGGTGTTTCCTTGTTTCCTGTGATCAGCAGAAAATTTTAACGAAAATACTAGTAGGGGTAATCCTCTTTGAAGTCATATTACCGAAATTTTGGTTGGCTACTGCTAGATAACAGGATATTTTTCATGTCAGGCATTTCATACTGGTAGAAAATGCTCTCTGTAGCATAAACATTTCAATTTAAAGGTAGGATTAGGGGCCATTTCTTATAATGTAAGTCTGTGGGAATGTGAGGGTCTGACCTAGTGTCTCGCTCGTTTGTAAATAACCTTGTTCCCTGTCCTATTATGGTTTCAATCCAAGATGGGAGGTTTCCAGTTGTACTTTTTAGCAAACTCCTAACAGTGATTACCTCCCTTGGCCGATTTTTAACTGATTAGGGGAAATCGCTGCGTCGAGATTGACTTTTTAGAAGTGCGCAGGGAATCAGTCTAGTCTGTAAAACTACTGTATCTTCTATCTTCCGTTAATGTCTAAATAGCGTCTCCGGTCAGAGATCTCTTTCGTCAAGTTAGGATACATTTGGTTGTTCTAAACAGAGTCATTAAAGTAACTGCGTTATCAAGAAATAGCGCATCTTCATCAAAACCTTCATGGTCATTGCAATTACGAGAGCACCAGTTTCCGCGATCTACACCGATCTACACCGAAAAAAAAACATTGACTTTTTACGTGCATTTTAATGTTCTTCATAAACCTAAGCGCACGGGCATAGCTTTGATATAAAACTACAAAGACATGTAAGTTTGCAAACATTCAATCAAATACAACTTAAATATTTAATTAATTGGAGTGTTACTGATAATTAAAACTAAAATTTTGTCCATCTCTTTGATTTTTACCGCATCCCTGAATGGATTAAAGACTGACGACAGATTAACAGAAATTAGGAGTGCTATAAGTTTTATGTCGGTGCGTATTGATCTTATTATTGAAGGATCGTGTCAATTAATGATAATTGTTATAAAAGTTGCCCTGAATATATTCAATTAACTTCTCCAAATCCCTCCAGAGGCATGCACGTCCCAGAGAAGGCAAACGGCAGGTTAAGGGCAAGTCATCTCAAGTTCCAGAGATGATTGACCTGTCGTGACTGACTCTGGAGGGTGGCGCTAACAAGGGTTTTTTTTTTGTTATAATGCCGTCGGAGAGCTGATGTCTTGGATACTATGGTCGTCTCCTACAACCACCAACCAGCGATGAACAGCTTCCAAGGAGATTATTCATGAAAAGACGTCCCCGATGTGACTATGGACGGAGATAGGGTTATTCTGGCGCCGAGTATAAACAAAAGTAAACACAACAATACTCAATTCAATTCAGTGACTTTATTGCATTAAACATTTTACAATGCTTATAGCACGTACAAATATATACATTGGCAAATGAATACATATCAAAAAAGAGAATGAAGCATACAAAGTCTTTTAATAAATACAATTCTGTGTTAGCTATTTTTTCTTCAAGTTATTACGAAACACTGATTTTATTTGCAAAGAAAATAAATTTTGCTAGTTGGGAAATAGACTTTCTTGATTTAGAATTCATTATAAGTCCGAACTTATTTATTGTTGGCCATCGGCAAAAATATGGGTTAAGGTATTTTTTCGCAAGTAAAAGATGAAATTTTGGGCTTTAATGCCCTAGGTCGTGCTCTGGTTCAGTTCAGGTCCACGATAGATTAAGTGGAAACAGATCCGGCTTATTTTAATAGTATTTGTTTAAAATCTTATTATGCAATATGTAAATATGTACTTTGAAAAACTACCTTAAACCAGGAAGAAAAAAAAACTAAGCAATTTTAGTTCTTCTAATAAAGGGAAGTAAATGTGTTAACATATGTTAGGTAAATTATAGTAGTTATCCTTCTTTATGAGGAGCATAACTTATGTTCATGGAAATGTGGTCATTTTCCGTCCTTTTCAAGAATTTTGGAACTTTTACAAAAAATTAAGCTAAACTAATAATATATATGAAGTTTCTGTGATAATAGAAATATGTCGATAAAGTCATGGAATTGTGGTTTATTTTAATTGAGATAATCCTTGTCCATGGTGTTTATTACCTACCATGTAAGTAATTATGTAAACAATACATTCGACCGATGCGCAGGAGAGTAAAATATCCAAACTCAACAGAAAAAAAAACATTTGCATTCAATGCAGGAAGTCAGACACAACATACGCATAGTATCCTATTTGTTAAGACAATCTAAATTGGCAATGATAATGTTTGATCTAACATATTTGAAGCGGATTTTTAATGTTTTCCTTTCAGGTTTATTTATTTATCATGAAGGTATGTTTTATTCCTTTTATTGTTTTGTTCCGAACATGTTCTTTTGAACGAAATAAGTTTTAAAAAAAATTCATAAATCATAAAACATGACTTCAATATGGTACAAGTAAGCAAATGTTAAAGTTGGTATGCATATTGAAGGATTATATCAATCAATGTTTTAATTTGAAAAATTAAATGCTATCACTTGTTGTAATCACGTGAGGGACTTTGCTTTCTTGCATGCTAGGATACCCAACTAACTTTCCGAAAGTTGGTTGTTCTTCTCACATGCACGCTCTGGTAGCAAAATAACAACAAAATGGTATATTTATTCATTTATTTATTCAATTGTTTTTTATTTATTTAAATATGTTTATTTATTTAAATATGTTAATTTATTTATTTCTTTATTTATTTCAATATTTATTTATTTATCTAAATTCTATTTATTTTAATAAGTTTATTTATTTAAATAAGTTTTAATTATATATTTATTCATTCAACATTCATTCATTCATTCATTATTCATTCATTCATTCATTCATTCATTCATCCATTCATTCATTCATTCATTCATTCATTCATTCATTCATTCATTCATTCATTCATTCATTCATTCATTTATCATTTATTTATTTATTTATTTATTCATTTATCTATTTATTTAACATAGTCAGCAGTCAATGTGACGACACTGGACCTTTAGTTCTACAATCGTCGACTTTCCCACAGTACTTTACGTCTCCTAACTATCCTTCAAATTATCACCCGTAAGTAGTTAAAAGCCCACCTCGACATCCCTAGATTTAACTATTTAAATACATACAGATGTACTCTGTTGAAAGTTTGGTCGGTGTTTTAGAATTGACAGAGCTTAAATTTACGAGTGATGTATATTTTTACTCGAAAACAACTTACATGACTTGTAGAATAAAGCATTGTATATACTGTTAACAACACACAAAGACATGTATTTGAGAAATACTTTAGTGATTTGCTTAAATTGTTTGTAAAATTATACAGGTGCAAAACCAACAATTGTGTCAGGTTATCTTGATTACTTGTGTTGGGAATTAGTATAATTGATATCTTAAAATAAATCATCTTTCAATACACTCAAACTATATCATACATTTATTTTCTAATAACAGACCAACGAATTATCTATTTCCAGATAGCCTCATTTGTAGCTTTTAAATAATTAAATAAATGATTAAGAAATGAATTATTGCAAGATAAAATATGTCAGAAATATTTTGTTATTCAGTAATTCAAATTGCTCATGGCGCATAGAGGCACCGACTGTTGGCGAAAAAATTATCATTAACATTGAAGATTTCAAAGTGGAAGGAACCTCAACGGATTATTTGAACGTATATGATTCATGTAAGGCTAAAATAAAAAAACATCTAACATATAAATTGATTTAAAACAATGAACGTCATTTTATTTAAAATTGATGTTATATTACAAACATTCGTTTATTTCTAGAACTGATAACGAACTGTTCATTCCATGCATTTTAAATAGCTTTGAAAAGTGACCTATTTAAAATTGCCAAGAGAACGGTCTACTTAACATGAATTTGCAGAAATGACGTACAATTTTTACATTTTTTTCTTCATATGAGCCGCGTCACGACAAAACCAATATAATGGGTTTGCGGCCTGCATGGATCCAGACATCCGCGCAGTCTGATCAGGATCCATGCTGTTCGCTATAAGTTTCACTACTTGCTATAGGGTTTGTAAGCAAACAGCGTGGATCCTGATCAGACTGCGCGGATGCACAGGCTGGTCTGGATCTGTGCTGGTCGCAAACGCACTATGTTGTTTTTGTCGTGACGCGGCTCATATATATTCTTTATTTAGCTGATGATTCAACTACCCCTGTGACAACGTTGTCTGAATCAAACGCTGGTTCCTTCAATGTTTTTGTGAGCACTACCAGTACCTTGTATATAACATTCATCTCAAATGATGTTGACGAGAGCCAAGGTTTCCGGATCCTCTTTTTCACGAATAATCCAGGTATGCATCGTACTTACATAAGACATGCAATAAGACATCTATTGTCGACTGATTCTGTTTTTGATTTTATTGTTATTGTTTCTGGTGCTTCTTTAACCTACTGCTGATGATAGTGTTGTAGATGAAGCTGGTAGTGCTGATGTAGCACCAACTGGTGGTGCTGTTGATTTTATTTTTTTATTTTTTTAGGGGGGGGGGGTAGGTGGTGGTGATGATGATGATCATGGTGCGCACATTACCTTTGTGAAACCTTCATCATAATTATATAAGTAATGTTCTCTTTAGACAACCAAGCAGCATGTGGAACCACCTTAACTGTTACCTCGGAAGAACAGGTATTCATGTCACCAAATTTGCCACAGCCCTATAACGCGTAAGTCACATTTTCTGTTTTCTTTGAAATGTTATGGTACCAATCTAATGAAAGTAATTTTACTCGATTCTATAGATTTGCAAACATTATCAAATTCTGAAACGAAAAAAAATCTTGATACATGTATATGAAATGTTTTCACGAGTGATTGTCATCTTCGATTTTCAAATTGAAATTTGATAAAACTAAAGATAATTTACAAGTTGTTCATATGAAACGCACACTCATGATGCGCGTTAATATTACTGTGTACATAGGTTTGTCTGGATTTACTTAGATGACACAGAACTTTATTTGTATATAGTAAAATGTATGTAAATCTTGCGCACTTGTTATAGAACGCCAGCCAGAAACGCCTTTTTTTTAAAATGTAATTCCTAGTCCTATCCGAAACTTAGACTAAGTGTATTCGACATGTAATTCATTGGTTAAATCGAATTTAATATCTTTAAGAAAAACTTGAGACGTGAATTATAGTAAAAATTGTAATAAGGCAGTAAATAAACTTTCTGCTACAGGAGTGTATGTTCCTGGACATTTTCATCTTCAGCATCAATTGTGTTTCAACTGAAGTTCCTGGATATGGGTGGCTGTCTTCAGAGCCACATAACGTTCTATGATGGTTTATTTTTTTATATTTCACTTTCAAAGAAAATTAATTCAATATAAAATCATGCATCATAATTGCATATTCTATTCTCATACAATGTTTTTTAAGTGTGGGTCATAATTGTCCTAATTTTGAGTTCACTTTCTAGTCGTGGAAACTAGTCTACCACTACAATCTATTGATAGGTCCTTAAACTTTTTGTTTTCATATCGGCTGATTCTCTGTACTTTGAATGATTATATTTTCGATTTTTCGTTGAGCACGACATACTTGTTATGATTGCGGTATGTAAAATTTTCACAAATTTTATCTTTTTCTTGTTAAGTTAACATAGATGCTAGTACTTTATATTTACCCTTAGAAAATGTTTCCTGACTTCTAAAATTTTTCATTTGACATCTACATACCACAAACATAACAAGAATGACATGCTCAACAAACTTGAATAATCGATAATATCACCTCTCTGATTCAAATATATATAGATTATCAACCGATATGGAAACAAAAAGTTTAAGGCTTTATAACTTTCGATTACTGCTAAGATTGCACGATATCTAACTTGGGGGCCATATGCCGCTTTTCATGGACTGTCAGAAATGTTTCTACTAAAAGTTTCAGGAACTGCCGTATGAACAGGTTATGTAACTTTATTCTAAAAAATGAGAAAAAAGATCAACAAGGCCAAGTAACTGACTTCAAACACAATCTAGAAATAGGGTCCCCAAGTAAATTTCAGCATTTTTGGTGCTGATATCCGCTTACGCCGACATTGGTTTGGGCTTGCGTCGATGAATTTTCTTAGACTAGCGATAATCAGGCCAAATCAAACTAAGTCTGACGCGTTTTTTTCTTTCTTTTAAGATTCTATCTGATATATTAATTACAGTATTCATGAATGTTTTCTTTTTTTCTCCAACAATGAATTTTAAATTATTCAACGGAAACTAGATATTTAAGAATCTATATGATTGCATTGATATGAAATTTATTTACCAAACAAACATAAATGAGCTGCGTCATGACAAAACCAACGTAGTGAGTTTGCGACCAGCATGGATCCAGACCAGCCTGCGCATCCGCGCAGTCTGATCAGGATCCATGCTGTTCGCATACAAACTCTATACTATAACAAGTAGAGAAACCGATAGCGAACAGCATGGGTCCTGATCAGACTGCGCGGATTCGCAGGCTGGTCTGGATCCATACTGGTCGCAAACCCATTATGTTGGTTTTGTCATGACGCGGCTCAAATTGTGTCCATGTAGGTCCATCCGAATCTGATACGGAGCTGAAGTCCCTATGTCACACTGCGCGTACATACACCTTTGACAACATTAAGACGACAGGTTCCGGCGGCCATATTGTCTATAGAGTGACTGATCAACCAATGGATTACTATGGCTTTGTGTTGGTGTACAGTGAAAATCAAGGTAATGTTGTTGTTACTTTGTATTATTTTTATATTGTGCTAGATTAGTTAACACTTGTATTTGTGTAGGGAATGTTTTACGTGTATGTAAATGAAAATAAGTGAACCTGCTAAAAATAATTCTTACCATACTTTATTTACATAAAAACATAAAGTTCTACTCAAACATATATAATACCAGGGAAGTCCGTCATATTTGAGTTTAGGTCAATCTTTTTTGGACGAAGTGTTGCTATAGACTTTCATCAAATATAGCTGCAGTGAATATAATTATAACCTCGGATTTAGAACCGATGAAGTGTGATTTAATTGTACTACTATTTTCTTTATTTATACATAGTTATAAAAATAACATTAAGTACATGTATTGGATTAAAGGGAACTTGCACAAAATCTAACGTGTATACGCTGTTTTAAATAGTTCAAAAGTAATTTACTACTAGAAAAATAACAGAACATAGGCCGGTGTCTCTAATATTATCAAGATGGGCTTTACTTCCTTTTTCAACAAAGGTTTTTACTTTGTTATTTTTCTTTTGATTCATCATAACTTAACATGAGATATAATCAAGGAAAATATGTTTTAAAATGATCTGTATGACGATAATACAAACACAACAGCTTGAATATTTTAGTGTAACAATAAGTTATTATATTATCAGCTAAAATGAGGTATCGCACGATCAGTTAGGTCCCTTAAAAATACTTTTTTAATGCGTATTATGTCAATGTTAAAGAAAATAATTATTGTCTTAAACCTTTTTTTTCATTTCTACTATTTCATTTTCCATTCAAAATATTTAAGTTATTTTAGTATTTATTGCCTACCGCACATAAAAATATGTTGGTATGAAAGACTCATCCAAAGTGAGCGAATATAAAAGAATGGAACATGGCGTGTCTTATATGGCTATACATTGTTCTCGATGTCTATCTATATGTTTTATTAGTCGCCTATAGAAACCGGCAACTATATAGATAACAGTTTAATAGTAAATGTGTGGCAGATCTGAAAATATCAAATCAATTACTAGTATTGAACAATTAAAGACCACAATTAGTTTTGATTAATTTTTAACAAAAAAAAAACAACAACATATAATAATGTTGCTTAATCACGCCTACTAAACAGTGGCTCTTTCACATTTTAGTGATCTGTGTAAAAATGTTAACACTTCGCGGGGAGACACAGTGATTTATCTATCATAATGTTAATGTTGACCCACGTTATCTTACATGTAAAATTGTGTCTAACTCACCTTTGGCTCAACACAAAAATATTTCAAAGAGCTTGGTTAAAAATAAAATTTACATTTATTCAAATGTGATTGCGCCATCGAAAAGGTGCTCGCGCCAGTCAGTAATGTGAAAGAGTCCTAGCAAATGTGATGGAGCCAAAACAAACATTCAATTAGCTAGGATGAATATGTATAACTAATTTTTCAACTTTTCTCTTTTTTAAAGTAAATTTGTTTGAAAAGTTCATTAAAAGTAATCTCAGGATCACAGGATTTTTTTAGGAACAGACGGGACTGAGACTCTGCGGGTAAATCTCGAATCATCCCTGGCGGTTACCGGAAAATAACATTTTTACAAGCAAAATTCTTAAACTAAGAGGTTGATGATCAGAAACATATATTTGTAATTGAAGTAAATATTTTAAGAAATAACGAATTTATAGCGAACAAATGTAAAACTTGAATCAGAAATCTTGACGAGGTCGCCGACGTTTGATGAGTAGGACAGCTCTAAATATTCTACCTATAGTCAAAATGATGTGCATAATCTTCATACAAATGTTTACAGTACTTTTTGGGTAATCACAAATATTATTACAATCGCCACATTTTAAGCCTATTTGTTGCCATAGCAATCACAATTTTCTAAAATAGGATAAAAAGAAAAAGACTGCCATCTACCTATATTTCAAGTTTCATAATACTTTTTGCGTTATCGCTGGATCCAGTTAAATCCAGGTAAAATTAGCCACATTTTCAGTCTATTTGTTGCCATAGCACCCAAAGTTTTCAACATAGGAAGTGCATAATCTCCAGACTGTCGTCTTTCCATATTTCAAGTTTCATAAAAATATTTTCAGTACTTTTTACGTTATTATGGGAGCCAATTTTGTAGACTGACAGACGGACGGACAGACAGACAGACAGACAGACAGACGGAGAGGGTAAACATTATACACGTGACGTAACCACTAAAATGTGATGCACTGGCAACAAGTACGGAAACAAATCAAGTGCAATTAAGCTGAATATCAGGTACGGCAGAATTTATTTGTTGATGTCGTGTAAGAATCGAAATAATATATCCAAATCGGTATTTTTATTGCTTGATAAAATCACTATTTGGAGATCGGATGCGGGGATTTATATCACGATGATATAATGATACGCATCCGAACTCCAAACAGATGTTATTGAGCAATGAAATCACAGTTTGGGATATATTATTTCTTAAGTGACGCACAACGCCAAACGGCATTATGCACTGATACAAAAGTAATATAGCGTAAAAAAATGGCAACGTTTTTAAAATGTAACTTGTTTATATTGTCGCGTGTCGTACCGCTTTGTCGCGATGTCACACCCCATTGTCGCTCTGTCACTTCGCATCATCTTGATATCTCTGCATTGTCGAGTGTCGTGGTCTGTATTTCTGCTGACCTCGACAACGCGATACCATTCTCGACAATGCTAATAAATACAAAAAATGATAAAATTAATGTAACTATTCGAAGATGCATGTGACACTAGGCAAATCTACCGTCTGCAAATGCGTATACATAGCAGTTAACCATAGGGGAGCCTCACCCCTGTATGTTCATTGTTTACATGTATTCGGATGCTTTGTGACATGTTTATGTCATTGAAATTTTGTCTTTAAATTTTCAGATGAAGGATAATTGCAAATGTACTTTTTGTGGAAGGGAATTTAATTTGATTTGTCACTGAGCAGAGACGTATTCGAGCTATGCTGTTGAGATGTACCATCAGTGAAAGGGGTTTCAATTCAAATATGATTTTTTCAATCATATAATAGTGGATACAAACGACAAGTCAAAAATTTGTCCAACATGTCATCACAGACATACACTTCTACAACACCACATGAAACATAAAGTGTTGTCCATGTCAGAAAAAGAAGCAAGTCGAATTGAATTACCTGCAAACACTATTTTTTCATTATTTCACTGTGTTATGTATAGACTGCCACTTTATGTTAACATAATTTTCGCAAATAAGGCAAACACGTTGAATATTGCATTATCTATTATTGTATTTCACTATGGTTTATGTCATTAATCATTGTATACTTCATGACTAATCTTTGATTAAAATGCAATATGTGGGCATGTACTGCGTAATTCTGAAATGTATTTTATTGAAATTTGCAATGTTGTTTTCTTCGTAGTTCAACTTAGTTGGGCGATTACAGTGCACATAACCTGATAATCTATACTGGTGTAACGTCAATCTTAATTCACCATATTTGGCTTTTAGGGGTCAAGAATGGTATTAAAAGAGAATCAAGTTTGGCCAGATTCATCTACTATTAATATTTACTGTGCATGTTCATGAACTTCTGTACCTGGTTCACAATAAAATTGTGCATGTTGAATAAAATGTAGAGGTTTAGCACCTGTGCCATGTTCTACTGTGTGTCAGTGGTGACCATTTGAGCCCCGTTGCACCAACACCGAAAGGCTGAAGTGAGTGAACCGGGGCATTTGCTGCAGCCATGCGGTATTCCGGGACTGTATATTTGTTAAAGGTCTTTATTCGCTTTATTAAAGAGACATAATTATTTAAGATGTTGATGGCCTTGGGATGAGGGTTGGTGAATTTATCGTCTTACATTCAAAGGTCTCTATAAATTTTGTATGAAGCAAGTATGTTACTGATGCCTTCACTTTACTTTTGAGGCAATTACAGTGTATTGTAAAAATTGTCAGTTCAAATGACCTTCACTTTAAATAATTGCTTATTAACAGCCATAGTCAAAAAAAAATTGAGAAATTTTACATAAAGCACTATTTTATTGCAAAGAAATACTAAAAGTCTATTATTTAATTCATACTACATACACTCAGAGGCATATATCATACATTATGTACTTGCTACTATGAATTTTATTTACATTTAATTGATAAAAAATATAGAAAATACCAAAACAAATATGCAACTGCAAAATAAAAAAAAAACACCCAAAGAATGGCTGTAAATATAGTAACAAAGTGAAAACTATCTGGATCCCACTAAATCCCCGCCTAAAATTGTGCTATTTAAAAAAGAGGTATGGATCTGGACTTTCAGTGCCAAATTTTGATCAATGCCAAGTCTCCACATGCCAGTAACAATAAATTCATTTAAGACATATTATGAAATAACTCCTGTGAATGTGTTAACAAAATACATCTTTTATACTATTTCACCATTTCAAGGCCACAAAATGTCACAAATACAAAGTCAATACAGGATATGGTCTATTACAGGGTATATTTCCTGACCTGTCATCAATCAAGTTATGTTGGCAATTCACCAATGTCATTTATCACATTATGATTTTGTTTTCATGGGCCTGACTTGGCATCATACTCTGTTACAAACTATTTTAGGCTTTGTCCTTTGAGATAAGGTCCTAGGTGTTGCGCCTATCACGTCGTCTTATTATTGTTAACATCTGTGCCAAGTTATTTTAAAATCCCTCAATTGATGAAAAAGTTATATACCGCGCATAAAATATACTCCAGAGCAGACCGTGTTAAGCTTTGGCACTCAAATGCGACCTTGGCATTGAAGGTAGGAATCTGGCTTTTGCATAGGGCACATGATCTCACTGGGAACATTTGTCCCTAGTACTTTCAAAATCCGTTGAAAATATTATTGACTGCAAACAAAATAAAAAATATAAAAGACCATGGTAAGCTTTGACATTGGAGATAAGGATCCGTGTTGTGCATGACACATTGTCTTATTATTGTCAACATTCAAGCCAAGTATTTTCAAAATCCATTGACGGATGCAAAAAATATGCACTTGAAACAAAATATACCCTATAACAGACTATGTTCATCTTTGACCTCAAACTGTGACCTTGACCTTGGAGGTGGGCGACAGGTTTTTGCACATGACACATCGTGTTATCATTGTGAACATGTGTGCCTAATAATTTCAAAATCCCTTGATCTTTGAGGAATGTTTGGAACGGACACAAACTATACCCTTTATTAGATTATGTTAATCTTTAACCTTCAACTTTGACCTTAATTTTGGAGATAGGCGACTGGTTTTTGCGTAAGACACAGTCTCAGTATTATGAACATCTGTGGAAAGTATTTTCAAATTCTCTTCATAGATAAGAAAGTTATGGACCGGACACGATATATACCCCCAATAGACAATGTTAACCTTGAATCACCAAGTATGAGATTGACATTTGAGGTAGGGGTTCGGTTTTGCCGCATGACACATCGTCTAATTATAACAAATATTTGTGCCAAGTTATTTCAAATTCCTTTATAAATGATATCGTTATTGAACGGACACGAAAATTTGACGGACGGACAGACTGACGGAGCCTATTTTTACATCCCCCTTTTTTCTTCGAAAAGACGGGGGACAAATATATAAGAACGTGCAGTAACAGGTAAAATTTATATTTTAAGAGGTTGATGAGATACAATTTTGTACAGGAAGTTGAAAAAAGTGGCAAACTTTTCTTTGATAAGTTGAGCTATAAATTAAACAATTGTGCAAGTAAAAAACTTATGCATCACTAAAGTATAATATCTGTACATATCCGGGTTATAACAATTAAGTAGATATCACTACAAAAAATATATTTTTGAAAATGAATATTAAAATGACCGGAACATTCAAGGGTGGAATAAAGATTAGTTTTAATTTCCTGCATAGTAAATGTAGATAATCTGGTCGAATTGTCTAGCAGCAAAACATATTGGATGGCATTTTGTCAGTTGATTCAAATTCATAACCACCGGACAAACTCTCTCGTAAGCATATTGATTTTCATTGAATTATTTAATTTCTACATGAAAATGACATTGGCTATAAGTTACAGTGATTCATAAAATAACAACAAATCAATAGTTTTCATTTGAAAAAATGTTTAGAACAGGAAATAATTGTAACTAAATACTACAGTCAAATAATTTGTTCAGAGTGTTAAATACTTTTACTCAGATTATATGGTCATGTATAAACGGTTTTCTATATAACCGTCGCCTAGCAGGTGTGCTTAAATAAGTACACGTATAAAACCATTCAAATTGGGCCCTTTAAAGTGTTAAAATCTTTCAAGCTTATAGAAAATTTTATCAAACACACAAGTCACATGTTGATGGTATTATCAAGACTTTAGCATGGCTTTGCAATAACAATACCGTCGAAGTGGTTTCTCTGGAACACAAACAGAAGTGTTCCCGTATTTGTTAGTTCTACTTATCTCATCCATAATTTCTAAACCAGTCTCTGTATGATAATTTACAGTAGCTTCAAACATAGCATTACCCGGTGATGTCTCAAATATAACTAGGAAACGTTTTTGTTTTTCTGCTTCCGGTGTTGAAAAGAACTTGTAGATTGTCCAGCGATTTTCCTCCTCGCCTTTTGGCGATAGTCCTAGAGATATTTGCTGTGCTTCGTGAATTTTAAATAAAAATAATTCAGCACATATGTGATTATACTTTCGTAGTAACATATTTAAATGTGACACTGCATAGTCCGCTGCTTTAACAACTAACGGATTTGTTAAACCTATCTTTTCGGAGCCATAACAGGCGCAAAAATGTTCAGGAATGGAGGCATCTGCGCATGACCGGGTTACCGGTATAGGACGGAATAAACTTATGCCTCGTTTCGAATGTGAATGAAATGTCAATGTTTCTTCAAAATCGGATTTTAAAATATCATTTAATAGCTCAAATAAATCGAAGTTTGAAGTAAGTCTTTCAGAGTTGTCTTTAAGATTTTTAAATGCATTCGGATGTTGAGTTTCGAACGATTTTGGAGGCACTACCGATAACAAAGGCATCCTTTCTTCTATTCTCCCAACAAAGGTGTTCCGAATATCGTCTATTCGTGAGCCATGGTCACTAAAGAATATCAAGAAAGCATTTTCTAGGTGACCATCTTCTTTAAGAAACTTTAAAAACTCAAAAAAGTCGTTATCACCTAATTCCAGGTAATTAATGAACTCATGGCATATCTGCACTAGCCACGAGAAGGAAAATTTCAACTTAGTCTTATACTGCCTTATAAACCTTTTATAATAATTAATTAGATGTTTAAAAATTGGCTTGTTTCCATAGCATAATGACGAAGATTTGCCCACGTTCATATTTTTGTACTCTAAAGGAAGAAGAACCGACTTCAGGACCTCAGATGCGAATCCTATATTTCTAAGCCCTAGCATCCAAGGCCTCATATAGTGGTCGGTTGGTGGATCTTTAAAACCTGTAGCTTCTGTGTTAAATGCTGCAATAATAGGATAATCCTCGGCGAAGAACGTTGCATAATTTTCGCGGGAAAAGTTCTTCCATATAAACGGAAAATTTTTGAGGTCGTATTTACCTCCGCCTGGATTTGGAATGTCGTCCGTCCCTGGTCGTTTGCCAGTCAGTACTGGCACTAAGTTTGGGAATGTATTATCACCAACTTTCATATACCCTTTGAATATATGTGCACCTAAATCTTCTGTCAAATATCTGTAAGTTTTTGGAAGTTTGCGGATAGCAGATAATCTAGAAGTAGAATCTATTCCAAACATTATTACACTGTATTTTGATGACTTACTGTCCTCGTCGCCTTTTTCTTTCTTGAAACTGTCAGTAACAAAGACACTTTCCTGTAGAGTATCATAAATGAGTTTATCACCGGAAGTGTAACAGCGTATTCTATAAAAGTCATATGGCACCTGGAAAGGAATATCCATGTTTTTCTCGTCTCCAAATTGTACTTTATAATCGTCATTCTTAGGTCTAAACAAAGGTGAATAGCTGCATTTATAATTAGTATCTCCGTAGAATTTGAATGCTGATTGATTATATATCAATAAACCACGTGTATCAACATAAACTAAATCCGGCGCCGGGTCACAATGAATCGGATCAGGACTCCATACATATTTCATAATGGATTTATCAAACGGGTCGAGATCTGGTATAATACATTGCTTATTGATGTTTTCATTCACAAATAAAAATCTCACCGGCATCGTCAGTGATCCATAAAGAGAATAGCTTATATACGTCAGTAATATCGTTAAAACCAGGAAAACACGTTTATCTCGTCGCCATATTTTATACAAAACATTGCAACACTTTCCAAGAGAAAGTTCAGCAAGTCTTATGCTAGACATCATGGCTACTCCACCTCGCACCGATCTGGAAAAATGATACATCTCTGTAAAATTATGTACATTCCTATCTAAATATGACAATATAATAGCTCTGTATCTCTTGTTATAATAAATACTGTTCTGCTTAAGAGATATACAATGACATTAAAAATGCTATACAGGAAGTTTAATATGACATTCTGAGATTTGTGCAGACTCAGTTTAATAATGAATCATCCATTTGTTTATAAAGAACTACTTGAAGAAACTACAAATTGAGACTCGGGATATGTTTGGACTAGTACACATCTGACACAATGGTGAAAACCCCCTTAAATAACTGGATATAAAAATAAGTTCTTTTCCACACTGGCCCATCTATCAAACAATAAATAATAATTTCTTTATAATAAGGGTAGACATATAAGATATTAAACACGTTTTAAGTTTTTACATACCACGTGTATAGTAAAATTTGAATTTCTAATCCCATATCAATAAATCCTCCAACTCCAGTCATTCCCTCAACCATACTATAGTAATTGGCACTCCATTTACGGTGCACGCATGTTTGATCTGCAAAAGAACAAATTTACATGTGTATTCCATTCAGTAATTAAATATAGGATATGCATACGCCCAGAGGAACACAACAACCGAACAGGTGAACACAACAACCGAACAGGTAAACACAACAACCGAACAGGTAAACACAACAACCGAACAGGGGAACACAACAACGGAACAATGACCGTCTTTACCGGAAGAAACAGTAATCAGGGCGGTACAGTGCTCCAGTTGTAAAGTTGTAATACTGACAACTAACATCAAAATATAAAAGTTTACATTAACATCCGGGTTTTATTAACTGTGGGTGAACTGCACTTAATCTATTGTATGAATATATAAAATATTAAAATACAGTGATTGCATCCTTGCTACACACGATAAATCAACATATAAAATACTAGTAGTTGAAACCCGAGGCGAAAACTGTCTCAGTCATGAAAGATTTTGTTTAGCAATTATTAGCATTACGCTTGAAGTGACATTGTGACCATCCAAGTGTAAATAGTTAATGGACAGGTTAACAACAACAAAAAAAAATCTTGAAATATTGCTGATTTTAAATTTACACTGAAAACATAATCAAAACTTCTTGTGACCAACAGAAACTGTAAATATCGTCCAGACTGTATCGGTTACAAAAGAACGGGTCAGTCTTTCTATTATTTAGATACAGTGGCCTGTTGAAACTAGATAAAACTACATGTATTTTCTAAAACTTAGCTATACATTTTCAAACAATCTTCATAACATTAATTCATGGATGAGATCAGTCATAAGATGCACTTGAAATATTAACATTTATAAATTTGTTAATGTATGCATACAGGCACCAGGATATCCCTCATAAAACATACCAAAAATGCAAGCTTATCAGCACTTGTAAACTTTGAAAGAATATATCTACACTACTATTTGAACTACTTAAAGATTCAAGTACAAATTTTATGTTAATTAACATTCAACTTTAGATCACCGACACTATGACTATAAGCAATATCAACATATTCAATATAATTATCTGAACTCAATGTTACTATATTAATATAGTCTATTCCCGTCAGGCATTGTTAAGTCTAACGTGAACATTACTTTAAATAATCTAAAAGTTGTTTTCCATTAGGAAAAGAAAACATAACCACATAATATTATCTCTTTTGTTATCAAGACGTTTAACTTTTTTTTCATTTTTTTTTGTTTCAACATTCCTGAGCATAGGATATAATAATCGCTCTGATGACATTTAAACAAACACAACAGTAGTGTAACCATAACACAAATACAATCAAATGGGCAGACAGCTGTTCCAGCGTCCACAGCTGTACCAATATATACTTGTCGGCACTGGGAATGCAATTGACGTACGATAAGTATTCATATATTTTTTACTTATCAAAACTGTGTTCGAGTAAATCAATGTTATGGATTCATAGTCAACATCCAAAGGAGCATGCTAACAATTTTCTGGCCCTGTGCAAGCTTTACTTCACGTGAATTTTGACTGAAAATAACCACACTATCCGATGAGATGCGGTATTTTTAATTTAAAGTCACAAAAACTTATATTTTTTCATGATAATAAATCCTTTTTTCATACGATTCGTAAACGTCAACATTTCGTCATTAAATATTCCAAACCATACCTTCAAAAAAGCTTTTCTGTTAAAGTTATAAGGTATTTAAGTTTGAGCGTCATCAAAATTTTAGTAACGTCATCAGCTGTTCGCCTCTTTTTAATGATAACATCGACAGCAATTCATCGGCAAGAATGAATAACGCTGAAAGCCGTTCAAAGAAACATTTTCAGCGCTTTTGTGCTACAATAACTAGGAGAGAGTAAAACTTTTTTGTTCATTTAAAATATTACTTTATTCATGATACTTTCTAATTATATTATTTTTATTATTACTTTCTATTATTTGTTGTATCTTAGCTGAGAGGCCTTTATCTCCATTTACCGCACTGTATTTAAATATAAAAAGGTAGCAAGATCTATTAATATGTTTCTGAAATATTAAATTCAAAGAAAGTAAAGGCAAATTTAACGCTTAATACGAATACTCTGTAATATAAATTAAGGCATCCTTTAAGTGAAAATTTTGTTTTAAGGAGCTCCAAAAATGAATAATGTCAGAGCCTCTATTAGGGTCCATATCATTTAGGCTTTGTTTTATTTCATTTTATTTCTTACTTAATTTGACATTTTATATTTATCCTAGTCCCGGCTCAACATGAAGTGCCTCAACGCGAAACTTGTTTAATATGCATTTCCGCTTTTCAAGGTATCTATAGACGGCACAAAATTATGTTCATATGAATGTATTAAAGATTACACGTATCAGATCTGTCTTACTTTTTACCCGTTAACTTAATTGACATAAGTTTTAAGTGTTAACAATGTATCTCTAAATATCTTTAAAAGGGAAAAACACTTTGACTTACCACAAACGTTAACGATACTTCTTTGCAAGGCGATCTGTTTTATACTTTTATTGTTAATAAGTGTCTATGTGATTTTCCAAAAGTCAGTTTTTTTTCTAATACACATGAAGGTAAAGTCATAGAATAAACATATAAACACACAGTAATCTGATTGGAAATCCCCCGCATATACAAATCATAGATATGAATGATTTGATGTTCGTTCTCTTTTGTACCATAGTCTGAATATGTATATTCTATAAAATGTAACCCCTCTGCGAGAATTCAAACATGGCATCCGCATTATTCATCCATGCACTTTCATATCTCGGGTTACACAGCCATTCACTGCATAGGACTTGTCAACTATATGCCTTTCTTTATAATAATACTTGATGTATGCCTTCATTTACAAGACTGAATGTTCGTATTAAGCGTTAAATTTGCCTTTGCCTTTTGAATTAAACATTTCATAAACCCATTACACGAACTCCACTGAGGTTTACAATTATAAGCCTTAAAACATGAAATTTTATTTTTTTCACATAGATAAACATGAGCACTTAAAATATAGATATTAATAAAATATAACCAAGAAATATAGAAGAAATAAACTGAAAATCATATGTTTGTGCTATTCTCAGTCCGATTTGAGTGAAAAGCGTTTAAACTCTTTTCAGTTTTGGGTCATTTTTCACTACTTTAATAAATTATTCTGCAAAAAACCCGGATCAAAGCAAAAAGGGATCGGAAAAATTTTGGGCACATTTAAGTTTATAAGTTTAAAATAGATCTACCATCAAATAATTTTTTGCGAGAAATTTAATCTCAAAAAATTTATTTCCAGTCCCGTCAATGTCAAAAACCTTAGTTTGTTTGATAAGATCTTACTACTTTATTTAATATTTAAATTTTACAGTTTCGCGTTTTTAAATGGACGATAAAGGCCAAATTTTTTCATTTTAAGATACAACAAATAATAGATTTTAATTTTAATAATTTAAAAATAAAGTTATTAATAGAAAGCTATCATAATTTTTTAAAGTTAAATTTATTTTTAAATGAACAAAAAAAGTTTTTACCCTCTTTCCTTTTTAGTTTTTTTTTCTTTTGTAAGCACAAAGCGCTTGAAAATTTTTTTTCTTTGGGAAAAGCTTCAGCGTTATTCATTCTTGCCGAAGAATCGCTGTCGATGTTATCATTAAAAAGAGGCGAACAGCTGATGACGTTACTAAAATTTTGATGACACTGAAACTTAAATACCACACCGTACAATCAAATGGGCAGACAGCTGTTCCAGCGTCCACAGCTGTACCAGTATATACATGTCGGCGCTGGGAATGCAATTGACGTACGGTAAGTATTCATATATTTTTAACATATCAAAACTGTGTTCGAGTAAATCAATGTTATGGATTCATAGTCAACATCCAAAGGAGCATGCTAACAAATTTCTAGCCCTGTGCAAGCTTTACTTCACGTGATTTTTGACTGAAAATAACCACACTATCCAATGAGATGCGGTATTTTTAGTTTAAAGTCACAAAAACTTATATTTTTTCATGATAATAAATCCTTTTTTCATACGATTCGTAAACGTCAACATTTCGTCATTAAATATTCCAAACCATACCTTCAAAAAAGCTTTTCTGTTAAAGTTATAAGGTATTTAAGTTTGAGTGTCATCAAAATTTTAGTAACGTCATCAGCTGTTCGCCTCTTTTTAATGATAACATCGACAGCGATTCATCGGCAAGAATGAATAACGCTGAAAGCTGTTCAAAGAAACAATTTTCAGCGCTTTTGTGCTACAATAACTAGGAAAGAGTAAAACTTTTTTGTTCATTTAAAATATTACTTTATTCATGATACTTTCTAATTATATTATTTTTATTATTACTTTCTATTATTTGTTGTATCTTAGCTGAGTGGCCTTTATCTCCATTTACCGAACTGTATTTAAATATTAAATGGTAGTAAGATCTATCAAACACTAAGGTTTTTGACATGACGGGACTGGAAATAATTTTTTGAGATTATTTCTCCATTTGATGTAGATCTATTCTTATAACTTATGTGCAAAATTTCCGATCATTTGCTTGATCCGTTTTTGCAGAATAATTATTAAAGTAGTGAAAAATGACCCAAAACTGAAAAGAGTTTAAACGCTTTTCACTCAAATCGGACTGAGAATAGCACAAACATATGATTTTCAGTTTATTTCTTCTATATTTCTTGGTTATATTTTATTAATATCTATATTTTAAGTGCTCATGTTTATCTATGTGAAAAAAATAAAATTTCATGTTTTAAGGCTTATAATTGTAAACCTCAGTGGAGTTCGTGTAATGGGTTTATGAAATGTTTAATTCAAAAGGCAAAGGCAAATTTAACGCTTAATACGAACATTCAGTCTTGTAAATGAAGGCATACATCAAGTATTATTATAAAGAAAGGCATATAGTTGACAAGTCCTATGCAGTGAATGGCTGTGTAACCCGAGATATGAAAGTGCATGGATGAATAATGCGGATACCATGTTTGAATTCTCGCAGAGGGGTTACATTTTATAGGATATACATATTCAG